AACATAAAAGGACTTGGCCTGAACTTCGGGCAAGAATTCATAAAAAAATCAACCCCGAGATCAACTGGGTCAACCGCACTGCAAGCATCTACAACAACGGAAGGAGAGTCCAACTACCAAACTGCGACGTTACGGGAGATGTCCCAGTAAAGACACTCGCCAGATTCGAGAAGGACGTGAGACAAACCGACACCGGGTTCCTAGCGATAGCAACGGATATGGAAGACGACGAAAAGAAAGCCTCGGAACCTTCCACAAAAAATCAAGGAATTACTGAATGAGTTCCTAGACTTTCTTCTCAACGACCTTCCGCACGAGCTACCGCCATACCGAACGCACCAACACGAGATCGTGGAAGAACCAGGTTCGAAGCCGACCTATCGAGCACCATATCGGCTCATCCCTATAGAGCTAGCTGGCATGAAGATACAAATTGAGTATCTCCTCGAAAAAGGACTCATCCGCCCATCCACTTTGCCATACCGTGCCCCAGTACTCTTCACACCGAAACCGGATGGAAGCCTGCGCATGTGCATCGATTACCAAGCTCTAAACAAGAAGACCATCAAGAATAAATACCGGATTCCACGAATCGATGACCTGGTTGACCAGCTTCGGGGAGCCATTGCATTTTCCAAACTAGATCTGCGGTCCGGATACAAGTAGGTAAGAATGGCGGATAACTCCGTCCACAAAACTGCCTTCCGAACTCGGTACGGGTCATACGAGTATCTAGTTATGCCGTTCTGACTCACCACGTACCGGCAACCTTCCAAGCCAAAATGAACCACATCCTAATCCCACTCTTGGATAAATGTGTGGTGGGGTATCTAGACGACATCCTCATCTACTCGCGCGACATGAAGCAGCACGTCGAACACCTGCGACGCGTCTTCGAGATTCTTCGACGGAAACATTTCTGCGTCAAATTGTCAAAGAGTGAGTTTGCCCTCAAGAAAGTCCAATTCCCAGGACACCCGGTGAGCGCTCAAGGAGTCCACGTCGACCCCAAGAAGATCGAAGTCGTACGCACGTAGAAGACACCCGAGAACGTGAAGGAGTTCCAGCAGTTCCTAGGCTTCGCCAACTATTACAACAGGTTCGTGTCACAGCACGCAAAAATTGCCACACCACTCACGAATCTGCTGAAGAGCACGCCCTATCAAAGGGAGACAAAACACCAGGAAGCCGTGGAATAGCTGAAACAAGCACTCACATCCGCACACGTACTCATCTTGCTAGACCTCGAACGCGACTACGTCATCGAAGCTGACGCCATGGATTGGGCAGTGGGAGCAGGGTTGATGCAAGACCAGGGGAATGGACTGCAACCAATCGCCTACCTCAGCAAGAAACTGCACGGGGCAGAACTAAATTACCCGATATAAGACAAAGAGGCCCTTGCTATTCTCATCGCCGTAAAAACGTGGAGATATTATCTCGAAGGACGAAAAACGGCCGTCTACAATTACCACTGCAACCTGAAACATTCGAAGACACAGCCAAACCTCTCCAGGTGGCAGGTCCGGTGGATTGACTTCCTCGAGACGCACTTCCACTATGACAAGCTCGGTCACAAAACCAAAGCCGACGCTCTTAGCCGGCCTGCACATGTTGCCACTATCTAGGTTGAAAGGATGAACCCGCTACTCAAGGGACTCTTCACACACGGGTACACCATCGTCCTTGAAATTCTCTTGGCACAGAAACGACATCTACTACAGTAGGACAGTGACATCGCGTACCGAAAAGGCTCAACGAAAATCTGGGTACCCAACTCCCCGCCTTTGCGCCAGTTATTATTCGAAGAATACCATGATGTTCAGTACGCTGGACACTTCGGTAGTAACAAAACGCTCTCCGGTATTGCAAAACACTACTACTGGCCCCACATGGCAGACGATGTACAGAAATTCGTCTCCTCGTGCGACACATATCAGCGGATGAAGAGCAGTAAGCAGAAGAAAGCAGGATGGTTACAGCCCCTTCTTGTCCCAGAACAGCCATAGCAAGTGGTTAGCCTAGACTTCATAACCGGGTTACCACCTACCACAAACGGTCATTACGCATCCCTTGTTGTTATCGACAAATTCTCCAAAATGGGATGCTTCATCCCGGCACACACGACAACACCCACCGAGGAGACAGCACAACTGTTCATTTGGTACATCATCTCACAGCATGGCATCCCAACCACACTCATTTCCGACCAAGACCCTAAGTTCACCAGCAAGTTCTAGAACGAACTGATGCCTCTGCTGGGGACAAAACTCGCTATGTCATCCGCCTACCATCCACAAACAGACGGACAAACCGAACACCTCAACCAAATTGTAGAGCAACACCTTATTCATTATGTAAGGATGACATCTCCAAATGGGACTTGCATCCACCCGTCCTGGAGTTTGCCTACGATAACGCCCCTCACGCCGCTACCGGATAGACACCATTCTTCCTCTGTTACGTACGCAACCCGCCCACTCCACAGAAACCAACAGCACCAGCCACTGTCCAACAAGTTCCCGACTTCATAACCACCATGCATCAACTTTGGGATCGGACCCACAAGTGCCTCATCGATATTCAGCAGCAACAAAAACGTGAGGCCGATCGACACCGTAATAATCACACGATCACTGTAGGAGAACGTGTTCTACTCGACACCCACGATCTCAACATCAGCCATCTCCCATCCAAACCGCGACCTCGCTTCTACGGGCCCTTCCTTGTTGAAGCACAGGTCACCCTTGTTACCTTCCGCTTACGCCTGCCAGCAACTTGGAACCCCTACCGAGATCCCAACATGATCTTCACTGGTCGCCAACCGTCGTCGCCGCCGCCCGTCCTTGTCCATGTTAAACCCGAGTACGAGATCGAGTCCGTGCGTGCACACTACCGTCGTCGGAATGGCGCCTTGGAGCTTCTCATCCGATGGAAGGGTTATGATCCTTCTGAGGATAGTTGGGTCTCTGAATTCGACATGGGTAACGCCCGTCGTCCTCTTCGCGACAACCTTGTCAAGCAGGGTGTTACTTCTACCACCCAGCTTTGAGAGGGGGAAGTGTGAGAGCACGACCCCGTTAGACGTCTTTCTCATTACTATTTTTCTTCTCTATCTCATTCTCCCTTTTCTCCTGATTCATTTGGTTTTTATATCATCTCATTTGGTTTCATATTCCTCATTTCCCATTATCTTTTGGTTTATTCTCTTATTATAATTATATCACCAACCCGATTCGTGATGTACTGGCGCGTTATATCTAGCATAATCCTTTTGTAATCCCTTAAAGCCAATAGCATCGCATGGCTATACACAGGTGATTCTATTTCTAGAAGGATCTATTCTCTTTGGATAGGATAAACTTGGTTACCTGGTGTACCTTGAAAGTATAAAAGCATCTTGTATCATTCGATAGGGCAACTTCCTCTCGACCATTTCGATCATGTGACGCCCAGTCTCCTAGCTCGCTTTTTGCGACAGGCAGGCACCGACCTCTCCACTGGTCGGCTGCCAAGAGGCACTGTGGTATTTGGCGAGTAAATCAGGACTAGGGCTTGTTTTAGGAGGATGGCAGCCAGTGGTGCTCACTTGACACATTGACGCGTCGTGGGCTAGCGATGTAGAGACGCTCAGGTCATGTTAGGGCTACTGTTTTAGCCTTTGTGCTGGTGCAGTCTCGTGGAGGTCCACCGGGTCGTCGTGTGTAGCTCAGTCCAGTTATGAGGCAGAGATCTACGCTGGGGGCATGGATGCTGAGGAGCTCCGCTGGCTGACGTTCTTGCTCCCAGACTTAGGTGAGCAGCCTAGGTCAACCCTGGTCCTGATTGTTGACAATAGGGCCATGATCCTCATGTGTCAGGAGGTTCGACTTGAGGGCAGAGCGAAGCACATCCAGCTGCGGTACTTCCTGCTGCGTAAGTTGCAGCAGCGCGGCCAGGCTCGAGTAGTATATGTGGCCACAGAGGCCAACGATGCTGATATCTCACCAAGGCACTTGCGCCTCGTGACCATCAGCGGTTCTGTACTCAGCTTGGTCTAGTCTCAGTAGCAGCGCCACTCCTTGTATCCTGATATCTACTATATCGGCTTGTACTTGCTATTTTTATGCTTGCATGTCTTGCTACACCTTCTGACTGGTCTTGTGGCCCCTTGTCTCAGTGGTCAAACGAGTATTGCTGCCATGAGTTGCCTTGCTACCTTCAGCAAAGGCCAGAATAGTAGTGCTGCCCTGGTTTGTTCAACTATGCCTCTACTTAGGCTAGGGGGTGTGTCAACAAACATATAATTCTATCTACACATATTTAGTTGATTTAGATATGTTTGTTATAGCCTAGCTAGACCGGTTCTTAGAGAGGACAATATTCTTGTACTTGTATCTCCCTTCCCCCTCTTCCTAGCCACACCTTTTCCCCGCTACTCTAACATGTAGTCCTTACACGCAAATCAGATCATGCCACATATTTTTTAGTAAACTTTGTAGTTTTACGCATGGCATGCACACTCCAAGCCATTTTTCAGCCACACGTCTCAGCTCTGCTGAACCTTGACCGTGTGCTCCAGGCCTAGCTATATTCCTTCTCTCGGTTGTTTTGATGTGGCCTTATTGTATGTTTTTCCTCCTTACCTAACTTCATTCTACAATTTCTGCTTGCGCCTCATATAAATTGACAAGTCTGCTTACAGCGGGGGAGCCAACTAGCAATTGGGAAAGTTCTCTCCCTTCAGCTGCTGACAGCTGGATCCTCCGTGGAACTGGGAGGGCCTCAGGGTTTGAAAACGAGTTCGTATTCACAATACCGCATTTCAGTTCCTTTTGAAGGAAGGTCCCTCGAAGGCGAGGCTACTGACGTTTATAGACCACAGCCGTGAGTGTCCTGTGCGAACGCGAGCTCGACACGAGCGCGGGAAGCACCAAGTGAACATGTTCTAACTTCTAGCTTCCCCGCCCCCTCCCTTTCCTCCTCTGCCCGCCCCCCCCTCCAAACACCCACCACCCTAGCTGTTCCTCGATTGCATCTTCTGAGCTTTCCTTGCTTCGCCGCCATATTCCGTGCTCCGTCTGTGGCTCTCCACCACTAGATCTGCCACGTGGCCCTCGATGGCCACGTTACACGACGACAACGACGCGGCCACCCCATCGTCCGGCCACCTTTACAATCCGTACGCCGATCTCTACCCTAACCTCGACGCGCGATCGATCCAGGGCATTTATCGCCTACCCGACGCGCCCGAGTTTCTCTTCACGGAGGAAGCGGCCGTGCAGCGGCGAAGCTTCGGCGACAATCTCACCTTCTTCACCGGCTGCGGGTACCTCGGCGGGGCACTCTTCGGCGGAATCCGCGGAACGGCGGAGGGCCTCCGCTCGTGGGAGGCGGGGGATTCCGCCAAGCTGCGCGCGAACAGGGTTCTCAACGCGGCGGGGTCGCGGGGGAGATCCGCGGGGAACGCGCTGGGGATCGTGGGGCTGCTGTACTCGGGGATCGAGGGCGCAGCGTATCACTATCGCGGAGGCGTGGACGATCCGTGGAATGCGGTGGCAGCAGGGCTGGGCACCGGCGCGCTTTATAAAGCCGCGGCGGGGCCTAGGACAGCGGCTATCGCGGGTGCGGTTGGGGGTATAGCGGCTGCTGCGCTGACCGCGAGCCGACACGTGGCGAAGCGCTACGTGCCTATATAGCTGACTGATGTTTTAGGTCTTATAGTTGATATTATTCCCTCTGCTTCTAGCGTTTCTCAGCGACGATCACTTTTCCATGTGTCCCCCCCACCTTTTCTGAGGCGCTTTGAAGATCCTCCCCGCTCCACTATTTGCCGATAAAGCGCTGCTGGTCTTTTTCCGCTGCTGCTCGCTAGTGCCGCGGTCTGGTCGCTCCTGCGACCCGCGTTTCTCCCATACGCTGCTGCGATTTGCGGCCTGATCGGGTACCGGTGGCAAGGGGGAGAGTCTTTTCTCCTCAACGACTGTTTCGAGGCACCTGTTTCTAAACGCCTGCTTCGAGACACCGTACAGCAAGCTGATCTGCTACTGGCGCGAGGGCGGTGTAGCAGAGCTTGTATCGAAGCAGAGCTTGTATCGAGGAGAATGGTGTAGATTGAGGAGGATCTATCGCGACCTCCTCGTCGCGCCCCTCCTCGTAGATCTAGATCCCACGCTCCTACTCCGCTCCGCTCACCAGCTCTCTTGCTTCGCTACGCTCCGCTCCAGCCACCAGCCCTCTTACTTCGCTGCGCTCCGGTCACCAGCTGTCGCAGCTCGCTCTAGGTTTCCAGGCACGTCAGCCAGTTGACTCCAGCATTCAGTCGCTTTCCCGGGCCCGGGGTTTCAGGCGCCGTCAGCCAGTTGCTCCCGCTCTAGATCTTCACGTACTTGACTGCCACGTGGCAGTCAGTTGCTCCCGTCTTAGATCTACACGTTCTTGACTGCCACGTGGCTGCTTAGCGTCAGCTGCGAGTCCTGTTGACGTCGTTTCGTCCTGCTGTTCCTGGATTCGCTTCTGAGCCGAGTAGCGGGTTGTCCATGGTTTTGCTCTTAAGTTGAGAAGCACACACTCCCTGGTTTCTCCCAGGGCGTGGCGTCGGTGGCGGATCGGTGCGAGGAGGACCCTTGGAAGCGGCGGATGGAGGTTCTAGGGTAGGGAAACAATGTGGGGGCAGGGGGAAGGGGGGAGGGGGGAGGCGGGGGGGGGGGGAGGGAATAATTGATTTGCCTTCAAGGCCTTTCTTTGGTATCAATTCGGAGCTGGGAGAGCGAGGAAACCCAGGAAAGCATTTACAGGGTGGGGGTTGAAGGGTTGTGGGCTTGGGGGAGGGCGAGGGTTTAGGGACGGCTGCAAGCTTGTAATGGGAATCAGTTCAGGGGTAGGGAAGCCCTTGAAGGGACTGTGTGAGGGTGTAGGGCAGGGAACAATGCGGTGGAGGGAGGGGGTGGGGGAAGAAGATGGGTTAAGAGAGAGCATGGGGGGTTTTGAGGGCTTGGATGGGGAAGGAAAGGGAAGTGGTGGGGAGGGGAAGGGAAGGGGAAGCATGGGTGGTTGGGGCTGGGAGGGAGCAGGGGGGAGGGGATGATATGGAGGGGCATGGAGTATGGAGAGAGCACAGGTGGTGAGGTGATGGATGGTGGATGGACGGTGGATGGACGGTGGATGTACGATGGATGGACGATGGATGGATGATGGATGGATGGAGGATGGATGGACGATGGAGGCATGGTTTAGTTGTGCTTGTGAGGGATAAGCATGAAGAGTGGAGAGAACAAAGGGTGGCCATGATCTAGCCTGGTGGAACCAAGCGAAAAAAGTCAGCGGAAGACTTCACACCTTGTGTTCGAAATGTCCGAATGATAAGGATAATAATAATGAGTGGTACATGCATATTCATAGTCTAGGGAGAAACTAGTCGGAATGTACTTGTTCGTAACGTATCGCGACCATTCGCGTGACATGACTAGTGACTGTTCGTGTAACTGAGTGGCGTGCCCTTTTGGGTGACCATACGCGTGAACTTACTGTTCACACATTGACTCGCTACTGCTGACGTCACTACGCGCGTCCTTCCATATGAGGTATCGCGCTACTACTACAGTCCAAGTATAATATCAGGAATGCATAAACTGCAACTCTGTCGAGTATACTTTAACGAAGTGGAGAGAGTTTGAGTGAAGGAGGGCTGTTACCGTACTCGAGGAAAGACACTAGCATTAGGGGGCGTTTCTAGAAGATTTATATTAAATGGTACCGGTACTACCCATAAAGATATAGTGCGTGAATGCAGGTGGGGGATTTAGCACTGGGATCAATATCATTGGTTTTAAGGTACCCTGATTGCTCAGTGTTAAACTAGCTAGGATGCTAGGAAGAGGAAGCCATGGAATGGCACGAGGGTTTGGCTAGGAGAGAAAGTTGACTAGAGAAAAGAGAGTCCAGAATAGAAGAGAGAGGGATACAAGGAGGAGGATTGTACCATCTATAGTAGGTTTGAGTAACACCTACCAAGCCTACCAATTATATATAAAAGATATAATTTAACATACCCCCTAGGCTTGGTAGCCGAAAGCACACCACACACGGGACACTACACCACCTAAATCTAGCACCCCCATACTCAGTAGCAACAACGCTACACCAGCCCGGTCAACCCTTCGGCGTGTGAAGCGGCGACGTCGACAGCAAGGGCTGTGGCGGCGACGGCGGCATTGGCAGCGTCGATAGCGGCGGCGTGGCCCCAACGCAAGCAACGACAGCGGCGGCGGCGGCGGCTTCGACTACAGCGGCGGCGGCGGCGGCGGGGCTCGCAGCACTCGGCAGCGTGGCCGGCCTCCGCGACGGTGGGACGGCCAGCGGGAGTCAGCTAACGGCTGCGGCGAGGAAGAGGGGACGCAGGGAAGGGGGGCGGGGCTTCTGCAACACGCCCGTGGCTGGCGTGTGCGGCGGCGCCTAATGTTAGACTAAGTTAGGATCTAGGTAGGAGGGAAGCCATAGAAATGGCGTAAGGGTTTAGCTAGGAGAAAGTTGAAGAGAGAAAAAGGGTTCGAGAATAGAAGAGAGAGGGATACAAGGAGGGGGGTTGTACCCTCTATAGTAGGTTTCAGTAAAACCTACCAAGCCTACCAATTATACAACAAAATATATAATTTAACACACCCACTAGGCTTGATAGTAACAAGCCCACACATATCCACACCCCCTAACCTAGCCCGCCCTTTCTCAGCAGCAGCCACGATGACTCTGGAATCGGTCAACACCCATGGCCCGGGAGATGGCAATGGCGGCAGTCGCGGCAGTGACGAGAGCGACGACGGTGGCGGCGGCGTGCGGCGCCAACAGGCCAGCGGCAACAGCGGCAGCGACGGCGGCTTCAACGTTAGAGGCGAGTGCAGCGGCCACCGCCCTCTCAGCGGCATGGCCAATCTCCTTGGCGAGGGGGAAGGAGAAGGGAGCGGGGGGGGGGGGGGGGGGGGGGGGAGTCGAATCTTCAGCGAGGCGCCATGGCTGGCGCGACGCTTACTGGCGTGAGGGCGTTACGACTGGCGCCTAGGACAGGGCGCTGGCCGCAGCTGTCCGTGCACTGGCGTGGCGAAGCCGCCACGGCAGCACGACGGCACGGCGGCACGGCGACCCAGCGGCACGGCGGCGTGGTGGCACTGCGACATAGCGGCACTGAGGCACTGAGGCACGACGACGTGACGGGGCCGGCGCGGCGTGACGGGGCCAGCGCGGAAAGACGGAGCCAGCGCGGGGTGACGGGGCCAGCGCGGCGTGACGGGGCCAGCGCGGAGGGACAGGGCCGGCCCGGAGTGACGGGGCCGGCGCGGCGTGACGGGGCCAGAGTGGCGTGACGGGGCCAGCGCGGAGTGACGGGGCCAGCGCGGCATGACAGGGCCAGCGCGGCGTGACGGGGGGGGTACGCTGCGGAAGCGTGAGGAGAAGGCCCGAGCGAAAGGGGCCTGCTCTGATACCATGTTAGACTAAGCTAGGATCTAGGTAGAGGGAAGCCATAGAAATGGCTTGAGGGTTTAGCTAGGAGAAAGTTGAACAGAGAAAAAGGGTTCGAGAATAGAAGAGAGAGGGATACAAGGAGGGGAGTTGTACCCTCTACAGTAGGTTTCAGTAACACCTACCAAGCCTACCAATTGTATAACAAAATATATAATTTAACACCAAAACCGTCACGCGGCCCGCTGCCGTCCGTCGACGCCGCCACTGCAGCATAACGCCGCCTCCATAGCGCGGCGTCGTTGCCACAGCGGTACGTCGACGCTGCAATAGCAGCACGACGCTGTCGCCGCGGTGTGGCGTCGACGCCACGCGTCGGGGCTGCGACGGTAGCACCACGACGCCGTAACTGCAGCGCGGCATGGCCGCGATGGCGGCACGAAAGTAGCGGAAATAATGATTAAAGTACGAGTACACGGCAGAAGCGTGGGGAGCAGACCTGGGAAGGGCAACCTGTTGTGATACCATGTTAAACTAGCTAGGATGCTAGGAAGAGGAAGCCATGGAATGGCACGAGGGTTTAGCTAGGAGAGGAAGTTGACGAGAGAAATGTGAGTCAAGAATCGAAGAGAGAGGGATACAAGGAGGGGGGTTGTACTCTCTACAGTAGGTTTCAGTATCACCTACCAAGCCTACCAATTATATGTTAAAGATATAATTTAATACTCAGTGTTGTACTAAAAAAAAAAACTTATCATCAGTCTTGACTGAAAAAACAAAGCTGTTTCATAAGTGTTCAATTGCGAAAGTTGGCTTTTCAATCAGGGCTAACCGAAAAATTTACGTTGATTTAGCAAAAATAGTAAGCATTTCGCGTTTAGATTGGACATGCTATCCTCCTAACTACAATAACATCCTATCGCATATTTAGACTATCGCATCCAATCTAAGTAAAACAACTACGAATTCAGCAAAACAAGCTACTATAAGGGCCATGCCCACTAGGATACCGCCATAATAGCATGCCCCTAGCAGAGGTAGGAGTTTTTGCAAGATGCGCTGAAGGTTATTAATAGAGCACGAATGGGAAAAGCAAAGACAACAGCTCAACAAACTCCACGCACCTGACGCACCACTCGCGCTAGTCTCGGGTCCTGCACGGCGAGCACCAGCCGCGCTAGTCTTGTGTCTTGCACGGCGAGCACCAGCCGCGCTAGTCTCAGGTCCGTTGGTGGTAGGGGTGGGGATCACTGCCAAGGGCCAACACGGTCAAGAAAAGGGTTAGGTAAATGACATGTGTAACTCTGTCATCGCACGAAAGATGGCGCTGCTCATACAAACTAGTCAAACACTTACAAGTGGCAGACTCACGTCCTGCACGGCGAAGGGTGGCGCTGGTCTCGGCCATGGCAGTGGCGGGAGAGTCCACAGACGCGCCCCGATGTATTAGCTATGGGGCAACTGTCAACAAATATTTGTATATGTTATAGGCTTTTAAGTGCATGCTCATAGAGGGTGCATCACCATAGCACAAAACCTCCCTGTATGACACAATCTGCTTCATTGCGTTATTTTAACATGGTATCATGCTAGGTTAGGTCCCCCTCCCCGCCTACGCTTCCGCCTCTAGCCTTAGCCCTAGCCTTAGACCGCGGCCTAGCTAGCACCCTGTCACGCCGCGCTGGCCCCGTCCCGCTAGACCGCGTTGGCCCCGCTAGACCGCGCCGGTCCCGTCAAGCCGCACCAGCCTCGTCACGCCGCGCCGGCCCCGTCACGCCGCGCCGGCCACGTCACTCTGCGCCGGTCCCCTCACGTCGCACCGGCCCCGCTAGACCGCGCCGGCCACGTCATGCCGTGCCGCCACCGTCCCGCCGCGACAGACCCGCTAGACCCCGCCGGCTCCGTCACGCCACAACGGTCCGTTCACGCCGCGCCAGCCCCGTTCCTCCGCACCGGCCCCGTCATGCTGCGCCGGCCTCGCCACGCCGCGCCGGCCTCGTCAATCCACGCCGGCCCCATCACGCCGCGCCGGCCCTGCCATACCGCGCCGCGCCGAGCTGCCGGGCCGCCGCGCCACGCCGCTGTGCCGCTGCGACGCCGAGCCGCTGAACCGTGCTGCCGAGCCGCCGCTGAACCGCCGAGCTGCGCCGAGCCGCGCTGCCGCGTCGTCGAGCCACCGAGTAGCCGAGCCGCCAAGCCGCCGAGTAGCCGAGCCTCCAAGCCGCCGAGTAGCCGAGCCTCCAAGCCGCCGAGTAGCCAAGCCATTGTGCCGCCGAGCCGCCGAGTAGCCGCGCTGCTGCGCGACCGAATTGCCAAGTCTCCGAGCCGCCGTGCTGCTGTGCCGCCTCGACCAGCCAGCCTTGCTTCCCCCTTCTGTGCCGGTGCTCTCGCCGGCCATCTCCACCGCTGCTCTCCACCGCCCTCTCCTCCTCCACCCCTAACGGTGGCCAGCTGCTTCAGCCGTGGCGATGGCGGACGCTGTACTCCGTCTGGACGCGAAGGGTCGGGTGATCGACTTTGACACGTAGCTCGCCGACCTTCGCCGCTCGCTGAGGGGACAGCGCCAGGATGGCCAGTCTCTAACCATCCACATCGACGGTAAGATCCCCTGCCCCGACCCGCCTGCAGCCCTCTCTGACGCCCCCATGCCCGCTCAGTGTGATCTCTGCAGCTGCTGAGCTCACTCGCTCCGTCTAGGAGTTGCGTGGCGCAGTTGCGCAGCTTGCTATCTGTCGCGCCCTCCCCCTATCTCAAGGAGCTGAACCTCAGCAGTGGCAGCAGCAGCAGCAGCCTCAGCAGCAGTAGCAGCAGAAGCCGTCGCAGTAGCAGCAGCCGTCGCAGCAGCAGCAGCCGTCGCAGCAGCAGCAGTCGCCGTGGCGGAATGGTAGTGCTGGTGGTGGTGGGGGGTGCAGCTCGGTGTTGGCAGCCCCAGTCTGGTCACCTGCCAGTACCAACTT